TCGGATTATTCGATGATAATTCAATATTATGGAGTAGAAATGATCACAAGGGACTTACCTCAAGTTTCCCGTGAAAACCTTGCTCAAAATCGCCCAACCCGAGCTTGAAATGCCCAAAAATGGCAAAAGCTCGAAACCCCTCTGTTTTTGTACTGCCCAGAGGTTTTCGCACCTGCGGCAACTTGGCCGCTTCTGCGCCAACCGCATGTGCGGAAAAAGTTCCGCATCTGCGCGCCTATTTGCGCTCCTGCGCAAGCCGCTTCTGCGCGCGTCCCTCCGCATCTGCGCTCACGCAGGTGCGTAATTTCCCTCGCACCTGCGGCCACTGCCCCCACAGTCCATTTGCGCATCTGCGCTTGCCAGGCTCGCTTCTGCGAGCTCGCACCTGCGATGGAATTTCCGCAGGTGCGATTGCAGCAGAGGACAGAAACTTCAGCTATTTCTTCTAAGTCCGAATTTGATCCGTTAACCATCCGAAACTCACCCGAGGCCTCCGGGAACTAAACCAAATATACCAACAAGTCCTAAAACATCATACGAACTTAGTCGAGCCTTCAAATCACATCCAACAATACCTAAACACGAATCACACATAGATTCAAACCTAATGAACTTTGAAATTTTCAATTTCTACAAATGACTTCGGAACCTATCAAATCACGTCCGATTGACCTCAAATTTTGCACACAAGTCATAAATGACATAACGGAGGTATTCAAATTTTCAGAATCGGATTTCGACCCCGATATCAAAAAGTCAACCCCCGGTCAAACTTCCCAAAAATTCAACTTTCGGCATTTCAAGCCTAATTCCACCATGGACCTCTAAATAATATTCCGGACACGCTCCTAAGCCCAAAATCACCATACGGAGCTATTGGAATCATCAAAATTCAAATCCGAGGTCGTTTACACATAGGTCCATATCCGGTCCATTTTTCTAACTTAAATTTTCAATTATGAGACTAAGTGTCTTATTTCATTCCGAATTCCTTTTGGACCCGAACCAACTAACCCGATAAATCTTAAATCAATTGCAAGACATAATTTGAGCAGTAAATGGGGGAACGGGGTTATAATATTCAAAACGATCGGTCGGGTCGTTACAAGAACTTCCATTCATTTTTGTGAAGTTACTAAAGTTTGCCCCCAAAATTTTTTGTCTCAAATCCAGAATTTGCTCTAGTTGCAGGTTTGGAACACTAGAGAATTAACTTAGATTGAATCCCACTATTACCCCTTCTACTATATTGATTTACAGCCTAGTTATCAACATGTTATGATAATTTTTGGATGACCAGAAGCTCATGCATGGAGGTTCATCTAATTTTACTTGGGCAAGTCTTTCGAAAAGTCATATTCATTCTGTTGAGAAGAGGTGCTTATTTCAGTACATGCAATTTATTTGAGTATTTAATTTAATGCTACCCTGGTATTTATCATCATGCATTTTCTTTGAGTATTTAATTTAGTGCTACCCTGGTATTTATCATTCTCAGAACCGGATTCCTGTCTTCTGTCCTGGCTTAACTGATGGATCACTAGGTGACATGCTATACTTCCATTCTTTCAAAAAGGGAGATCCAGATAATCCAGATCTTAATCCTGGTTTAATCATTGACATTGTGGGCGGTATAAGTATCTTATCAAGTGATTCTTTCTCTCATCAAGTATCTTTGACTAACGAATTGACAAAATTAAATTCTATAACCAGATATCAGGGCCATGAATAGTGAAGCTGTCCATGCTGGTTCAAGGAAGACTGGAATGATTATCCTGGGCGGGGGGCTGCCTAAGCACCATGTTTGCAATGCCAATATGATGCGAAATGGTGCAGATTTTGCTGTCTACATTAACACCGCACAAGAGTTTGATGGTAGTGACTCTGGCGCCCGTCCTGATGAAGCTGTATCATGGGGAAAAATACGTGGTGGTGCCAAGACTGTGAAGGTTAACAATCTTCCCTTCAATACATTTTGGCCGAGCATCTCCTTCTGGTGCTGTCTTTTGGATTAAGTTTAGGGGAAACGGTGTGTCTGACAAGTGGTGATGGGTGTTGAATTCCTGAGGAAGTGTTACAAACTAAGAGGTGGTTAAGTTTAATAACTAATAGTTTCAGCTGGGAAACATCACAATATTTAGCTTTGAGGGTGGAAGTGCTAGAGATAATGCACTTTGCTCATCCTTAAAATCAGTTTTTATTTGTCTGTTAAACTCTTTATGTTTTTTGGGCTGGGATTAAATTAGAGTAGCAGAAATCATTAGAGGAACAAGGTTTCTTTTGCTGGCCTTTCCAGCCCTGCTATTAACATAACATAGATTTCGTGTGATTTTTAATGGTTCTTACTTTGCAGGTACATTGTGATGCAACAATTGCATTTCCCATATTAGTAGCTGAGACATTTGCAGCTAAGAGAAAGGAACTCTCCCAGATAAGATGCCAAGTTTAACCAATTGAGAACCTGTCCCTCCAATTACATATGAATTGCTAATTTTTGAAGCCAACCGTTAGTGTGTGTTATTAATTATTCTGCAAACTGACTGGAGATGGTACATTCAAGTACCCTGAGTTAGAGAGTCCTGTATGGTTCAAATAATTTTTCCCTTCCCACCATGTTATTTTTGGGGAGGAGCAAGCAATATTTAGTTCTCTCCCTGGTCTTATGTGGAGAGCTCAGCTGTGAATAGGTTTTGAATCATGTTGTATCAACAATTATGTTTTTTATCTCTTTAGACTTTTGTTGAAAAGGGCACTTATCGATATAGATAATGCTTGTAATCTGAAATTTAAAGATGTTATTTATTGACTAATGAGACAGAATTCTTTAGTATTTATTTATTTCTTCAGTATCTTCCTGCTGAGCAAAATGTTATTGATATCCATGTTGGATATTTCTGTAGCAGATAAGAACGGAGATTTTTAATCAAATTGGTGGATGTTTCTTGCCCAAGTAGCCCCTCAAATATCTATTTTTTTCGGGCTGACAAATCCATTTTGAAATAGTGTAAATCGTAAAGAAAATTGTTCTAAAATGTCCGGAAGCGAACATCTAAAACTGGCTTTGATATGTGGACTGTGGAGTGCAGTCATATTTTAAGCTGGAGCTCCGTTACATGAATAGACCTATGGTATAATGAAGATAAAATTAAGCAATTTCAAATAAAACAAGGACAAATTTGGACATTTCCCCTTCCATCTATCAAGTGCACCCTTAATGAAATTCCCCTTCAAAAGTTGGTGTAGCGTGGCAAAGAAAGGTCAAACGTACAAAAATCAACTGCCACTAAGAAGCAATTGGAGAATTTGGTGGAAGATAAAAGGGGATTCAGATGAAGAAAAGTCAGAACCATTCATGAAATTCGTGGCCCCGGCAAATTGTCCAATAGATTTTTCGCATATATCTTCACAAAGCTCAAGTATCCTTAAATAGCTATCTGCCTATTTAGTATCTGTAAAATAAATACGTGGCTATTTTCTTGATCTTTCTTTCTGTTCCAGTCTTGTTAGAACTGAACTCTGTCTTTCTTTATCCTTTGCAGATGATATCACAAAGTCCCTGATAAGGTTAGTTTAAGCTTTCACAACTCTGCAAGTTTATTCTTTTGAACACGATTTTTTTCTGTCCTCTATGACCACTGTGCATCATCTTAATCTTCCAATTTTTTTGTGTCAAAATTATCCATGTGAGTCTTGATGTTGGACAGTAGCTTCACTTTCCCCTTCAAATTATTTATGTGTTTCTGGTCTTTCAGCATGAATCACAATCTCAAATCAAATTTGCTGTTAGTTTTCAGAAAAGCGCAGCATCATTCTTGGACCAACAATTTTCAACGCAAATTATTTTTCCAGTATTGAAATGAAATGGGAATAGACCTGAATTGATATAGAGGATTCATATAGTCGATGCTAACTTAGTTTAAGCTTAAGGCATAGCTGTTGTAGTAGTCGATGCTGGCACCTTTCTGTTGTCGTGTGTAGAGTTGTAGATGGTGCTTGCTACTTGCTAGTAGACAAAAACCTTCTTGTTGGATTATCCATGAAGGTCAAAGTAGATACATAGATAAGATCACAACGTAAGTTAACCAGTTCAAAGTGTCAATTTGTGTACATTGCAGTTTATTAGTTATTAATCATTAGATTAAGGTTTTATTGGGAAGAAATACTTGAAGAATATGAGCAAAAGCCTTAGTCATATGATATTGTATTGTCAAGAAGAAACAAATAAATTGAAGCCACGAAAGGGATAACATCTGTTTCTCTATATTTTCCCAGTTTCACCTGCTCAAGGAAACATAGAATGGTCAGAGCTCAGAAACTACATAGTCATTTGCAATACTAACTTGATAAAGTACGAAATTATTTGCACAGCTGCTATACATTTTTTATTTCTGCATATTTCTGAAAAATGCTTCTGAAGATGGTTAGTAGGAAACAAAATTTTACTTTGAATCTCATATTCTCTGTTGTTTTTGCTTAAAGGTGAGCATATCATGGTTCGACAATGTTAAGGCTTCAGAATCCACTAGCCTTTTGCAGCTGCCAATCATTTCCGGATACTAGTTTGCTGCATGAAGCCGTTCCTTGCAAGACTAAATATGTTCATCCTTTGATTGGTAGTCGTAGTTCTGCTAGCCTTCTGAGTTCTCCTAAAGGAGTCAGCACTTCTTCTTGCTCTTGGAATTGGACAAAGCTGCTGAAAACTTATAGGCTCTTTCAGCATGCCGCTTCATATAGATTGTTGGTAAGCGCCTAATAACATTTTCGCTCTCTTGACATGTAACTTATTTTTATGTAGTTTTTGTTTCTGTGATTTCTTCAGTGCCGGTCACAAGATGCCACTTCACCTGAAAATGAGTATCGCTCCTCTCGAAATATAGCTATCAGCCTGTTTAGGCGATACAAGAATTTTCTTGAGCGTGGAGGAGGTGACAACCTAAAAGTATTCTCAGTCATTTCTTCCTTCCTCTGTTAGGTCTTTCTGTTGCTTTCTTTGTGTATTGTTATGATTCTGATCTTTCAGGAGTTCATCAGTGCTGGTGTAAATGCATATGCTTTGGGATCTACTGATGAAGGATTGAGGAAAGAGCTGATTGCTTTGAAGGAATGTGGGGCTGAAATTGAAGCCATGGAAACATATGGAGGAAGTACCACCCTGAAGTCCAAGATTTCATCTGAGGAGGTGAGTCACTTTTGTATTACAAAACTAGCCGGGGTGGATGGAAAGTAATTGCATATGTTCCGTCATATGATTGGAAGCTTTCCGGCACGTTGTGAATGCTACTGTGTCTGCATCTAGGATTATGCAACATGTACATATTCCATAATATATAAAGAGGAAGTTGAAAGAAGATGTTTCAGTAGATACTTAGCAGCATGTATTGACTGGATGTCCCAAACTAATCTTGGTACCTTACGTGTTAATTATTTAGTTCTATGTTGTTTTCTTTTTCTTTTCTCTCTATAGTCTCACTTCAGATCATTTCAACAACTGATGACACCACTGTCAGTATTTCCATTGATTAATCAACATTTATGTAAAACTGTAGTAGCTACATTTAAGGGTTAGAGTTGTTACCGTTCTTGACAAGATTGAGAAAAGTTTCCAGATTACTTACTTTTATTAGCTATATACATTGTCAGTAGTGTAATCTACATGTTAGGATCGAAATAATCAGATGTCATGCGTAAGCTAGTAAAGCAAACCTTGAACGACGATAAATTAGACAACAAAAGAGAAATATACCAAAAGAGACACAAACATTTATCGTGGTTCGGTCAATTGACCTACGTCCACGGGCGGAGATGAGCAATCCACTATATAAAAGAGAGTACAAAATATTGAGAGAACAACCTCACAAAGAGGCAAACACAAGTGACACACTAACACTTGTCCCGTAAAGTTCTCCCCCTAAGCAAGACTCTCAAACCCCTTATGGCTACATTGTGGATGCTGCTAATTGAGAAGGAAGGATCCTCAATTTATAGAAGCCCAAACCTTTTCCTACAAGAAAAGGGACTAGCCAAATATGGAAGAATTATATTTTCCCTTTTGTAAAAGGTAAAATCAATTATGATAAATATGTTGTCCCTTCTTTCAAGAGATAGGAAAACCAAACATGGTAAGAAAATCAGACCAAACTCTTAACATTACATGTATTATCAGCCATCATGATTATATGACCGCTCATGAAGCTTCAATTTTTTTGTTGCCGAAATGATAAGTGACTGCAGCACTACATGTTTTGATTCCAAATTGAGACAACTGCAAAAGGTTCTAGTTGTCATGATAGAAACATATGTTCTACTACCCATAAATTTGATAAAGATGTATCTGCAAACCATAGGTTATGTTTTCCAGCAATACACATTGACCTGATATAAAGCATGTGCAAAAGATGGTTTCTTTTTCCTTAGAATGATCGACAAAAGAAGACAGACTATCTTAAACTGTTAGAAGCATGTGCAAGCAGTGTTTCTTTTCCTGAGAGAACAGGGTGGAATGTGATAAGGAGGATGCATACTGTTCTTTGGTGAATTCTTAACAAAATAATGACAATTGTAAGAAAAGAAGTAATACCTGTTTATATTTGAAGTCTATTGTTTTCGCGTTAGTAGGTTCTAGGATCAAAACGAGAAGGTTGGTTTTCAGAATCAGTGTTTACAACCAGTGATGTTCTTTGCTCTAATTAATGCCGAGTCAAATGAAGTGGGAACCCTACGTTTGATTTGTGTTTTTGATGATTCAATTAGCCGGATCTGCTCAGACCTGATTTGAGGCATATGTTTTTGGTTCAATTACCAAATCGTTGACTTCCTTCCCGCTGACTGTGATAAGCACACATCTATAGGCACCAAGGTAGAACATCTCAAAAGTTCTTGCTAGGCTGCCTCTTTTTTTAAAGTAACACTAGCATACATCGAAATAAAATGTTATGCTGCTGTTTGGTTTCAGAGAGGCAAGTTTCTCAGGAGTCTTGAGGTTTTTGATTAGAAGCAATATTTCTTCTTTAGAAGTTTCCTTGGAAACACTGGATATCGACTCTCATTCTGAAAATTTTGGATGCTTGTTTCAGGGATTCCTCCCTAATCTTGGAAAAAATTGTCTGGAAAAGAATAAGCATGCTAATATGTTCTTACTTTTCATCCATGCTACTGCATAATGATCTCTTGCCAGAATGGTCCAGTAGGTGTTAAAGCTTCTCTCAAGATCTCTGAGTTTCCTCATCACTGAATGGATACAAGTTTTCTAAATCAGTTGATTACATGTAATTTTTGGTATAATTATGAGAACCACCATAACTACTAGAAGAGATGTGATGGCAATTATCTAATGACACCTGGTTATGGTGCAGGTTGATGAGTGTATTATGTGGTTGAGCATTATATTCATCACCATTCTATGTACACCTCAACCAACTATAGTTCGATGGTCATCCACTCCCCCAGTTTCTGATGAAATGATAGTCCACTGGAAAGGCTTCTGTGCAATCATAGCAAACGCATACTTTGTGAGAGGAATGGCATGGTAAGGTTGTCCGAGGGCATACCGTCTTAAAAGATATTTTTCTGTTAAACGAAAAACCTGTCATCAACCATTTTGCTTTTGAGGAATTTTATGAAACTTTCCTTTATTTCATTTAGTTCAAGAATTGAGCGTAGTTAATTGGTTGATATACTTCCCTTCAGTTGTACAAGAAAATATGTATCATGTGTATTAATAACATGCTGTTCTCGTGAAGGCTTCCAGTGAAGACTCTCCAACTAGAGCAAATGGCAGTTGTGGGTCATGCTGAAGAGCCATCACTTGTTGCTAGCCGGATGAGACTAGTTTTTACCACTCTGGAGGTAAGTTCAATTGACAACTTTTTACTTCTAATACTCTTTCCAAAACAACATCAACAGAAATATGCAATAGCGGATTCAACAATAGTTTCGCCGCTCAGTGTTTAGGCATAGTATAGATAGAATTACATCTCAACTCAGAACCCACAATGCCTAAATTCTAAAGCATGACAAAACTGTGTCTCAGAGTGTTCATGGGTCAAACTTCAAATGATCTGGCTTTTGCCTCAAATCAAAACCAAACAGATGTTAAATCGTTGGCAATAGAAATCACACAGAAATAAACGAACATAGCAATAGCAAGTCATTAAGGGAAAAAAATAATGACTATAACATCGTCTCTTGTTTTATGATCTACTAAACATAAGAAACTTATCTATAGGTGGAGATTATCTTGGATATATACATAACCAGATGTTAAATGTATATAAACGAAGAACTAAAAATAAGTTTTACTTACATATATAAAAGATCTGCGGTTTCAAATTTTTATGGTTTTCAATTGACCCCCAAAAAATATAAATTTGAAACTGCTGGTTTTCATTCGTAACATGTTATTTCTTATTTTCTTGTTCTTTTTAGGTTGTGAGTCCACAATGGCCTAGAGGATGAAGCAGTTTATTTAGAATTCGGACAGCAAGATATCTCTTTACATTTCTTTCCTTTGTCCAAAAATATTCTGCTAAAGAAATGTTTGCTTGACATGAAAATACTCCAGAGGCTGATCTCTGTCAACTCGTACTTGAACATATTGCTAGGCTACTTTCATAGTGAGTTAGAGCATATAAGAATATCAAAAACCATATAACTGACATGTACCTAAAGTGTAATTCTGAATTCTGATTTAGATCAAAACAGGCTGTCCAACAGGGTCAGGTCAATAATCTACAAGAGGGCAAAACACCTTAAAATCACCTGTCATAAAAAAATCAAATTCCCAACTCTTGATCACTTATATCAGGAATTTAAAGGAATAAATGCGCCACTTCATGGATCTTGTCTTTAAATTTTCTTTATACACAAGTATAGTTCGAGTCGATGTATATGCTCTGGCATATCTTAACAAGAGGAAGCTGTTTTCAGTTTTCTAATGAGGAAGTCATTTCTGGGTGATTATTTTAATTTTTAACTTTATATTACTGCTCATACTAACATATAAATATTACTATTAATTTTTAGTACTCAAAAATTGCGTCAGAACAGTACTGACCAATTTGCTAATTTCATTTCCTGAAAGCATTTTCTACTGACCAAACAAACAAACATCATAAAGCATTTCCAAGAAAATATTTCCATGAAAGACATTTTTCGAAGAACATTTTCCTTGAAGAGTGAGTTCCATCAGACAAAACACGCTAAATTTTCACTTTCTATTGACTATGGAGGTGATTATGAGCTCTGTTATGAGGCATATATACTTTGGGTAATTTGGAAGTTTTTGCCTGAATCCCATTCCACTTTGCTAAAAATCAAGTTTTTTGTAGTGCTAATTAACTCCTTTTATTATCAAATGATTTAATAGAATTGTTGCAGTTATCACTTCATCAAACAGCAAGTTTATACTTTTAATAAACAAACTCATGTACTATTATCTCACGCCGCGCGTTTTGATACTGTTAAGACTTGTATAATTATATTGTTATATGTTAATTGCATAGTTGGTGATGTTAGTTAACTGTAATTGAGCAGAGTTAGTTGTGTAGTTAGTGGCCAGCTTAGCATTAGCTGTATCCACACATGTATATACTCGGTGTAGTAATGAGAAAGGGGTCAGATTTTCACTTTCCAATTTCTACTTTTATCTCTCACTAACTCTCTCTCATAGAATCCTCTAGAAGGACTCCATTGGAGCTCTAGATCGAGCTTCAAGCTCATCCTCAATGTCAGATTTAACATGGTATCAGAGCAAGGGACGCTCATGCTCGACTATCCGTCATCGTCTCCATCAAATTTCCCCATTTTTTCCTTCCAATAATTCTGCTTTTCTGGTCTGATCGATTTTTTCTATTTTTTTTGCCCTAATTTCTTCAAATCGCAAATTGACAGTCTATTCTTCAAATTTCTACTGGAATTAGTGTGTAACTCAACAAAATCTTACACTCATGGCCACATTAGATCAGGAAGACACATCCGCTGGTGTCGCTGCTGCGACAAACTTTGGAATAGATCCAAGCGATCCTCTTTATCTACATCCGTCAGATAATCCTGGAGCGATGCTCGTCTCGGTTCCTTTTAGTGGAATTGGATATAGGTCTTGGAGACGCAGTGTTATGCGTGGTATGTCCGTCAAAAATAAGCTTGGGTTTATAAGTGGAGAATGTAAACCACCAGAGCCTCAATCTCAGAGATTCCGACAATGGGAGCGATGCGACGATATGGTAACGTCTTGGATTCTAAATTCACTCTCTAAAGACATCGCGGATAGTGTGGAATATGCTAATAATGCTGTTGAGTTGTGGAGAGAATTGGAGGATCGATATGAGCAGACTAATGGTGCTAGGCTATACCAGATCCAAAAGGAGATAAACGACTTGTCTCAAGGTGTGCTGGATATTACATGTTATTATAGTAAGCTGAAGAAGCTGTGGGAAGAACTAAATACTTTGAGCAAAAAGACTCATTGCAGTTGTATCTGTACATGTGGTGCCAAGGAGAATATGCACAAGGCCGAGCAGGACAGAAGATTGATACAATTTCTTATGGGACTTAATGAAGTCTACACTGTCGTACGTGGAAGCATTCTTATGATGAATCCGCTACCAAATCTTGCACAAGCCTTCTCACTACTCATTCAGGATGAGAAACAGAGAGAGATCAAGCCAAATAATCAAATGCTATTTGAGTCTGCTTCCCTAAGTGTCAACACATCAAAACCTGGTTCTTACAGAACAAATTATGCTGCCAATAACAGTTCAACTGGAGGCAATAGGCCCCGTCCATTTTGTGACTACTGCAAGAAGCTAGGACATACTAAGGACAAATGCTACAAGTTACACGGGTACCCTCAGAACTTTGGAAATTCACACACTCAGAATCCAAATAGAGGACAGAACATGAACCAAGCTGAAAAGTTCAGCAAAGGAAGGAGAATAGTAGCTAGTGTGCAGGGGACTCCTTATGAGGCAATGCCAACTGGAAAAGATGGATCAGAAGATGGAAATGAGGTCGGGCAAGTCAACCTCTCTAAGGAAGAGTATGGACAGATCATAAACTTGCTGCAACATTTTCAAATTGGAACAGGAGGAGAAAGCTCCAGTTGCACAAACTATGTCAATGGTGCTGTGAACTTTGCAGGTATAATAGTATGCACTTCCTCTATTGATTTTAGCAAATTGTCCTGTGAGTGCTTCAAAAACAAGGCAGACTCTTGGATATTAGATTCAGGAGCATCTAATCACATGACCTTCAATATGTCCTTATTAACCAACATTGTAACCTTACCATATCCCTTATTGGTAGTTCTTCCAAACGGATATAAGGTAAGAGTAACACAAATTGGAAGTGTGACATTGTTTCCTAAGATCATTTTGCATAAGGTTATGTACATACCTTCCTTCAAATACAACCTTATATCAATTCATTCATTAACTAGTTCAACTCCTCATAGCATAGTTGCCTTTACTGATAACATCTGTATTCTGCAGGCCCCTTCAATGAAGAGGCCTCTGGAAATTGGTAAAGTCAGTGATGGACTCTATCTCCTCTGCCCAAGGTGTCTCAGGAACAACCATTCAAAATCAATTGTAAATAGTTCAATTGCTAGTTCTGTTTCTTCCAATTGTTGCACATATAACTCACACTGTTTTTATCATTCCACTGTAAATAGCTCATTGTCTAGGGATAATTGCACATCTCATTCAGCTGTTAATACATGTTCCCCAAATAATAAAGTGCAACTCCCCATTGTGAATAGTATCAATCCTTTCTTTCCTTCAAGTAATGACATAAATGTGTTGTGGCATAACAGACTGGGTCATGTGCCCTTTATCAAGATGAAGGGAATATCCAGTATTCCAGCATCTTTCTCACCAAAACAACCATTTACCTGCTCTGTCTGTCCAATGGCAAGACAGGGGAGATTACCATTTCCAAAACAATCCATTAATTCTACCAAGATCTTCCAACTTCTTTATGTTGATCTCTGGGGTCCTTACCATATGCCAACTTATGACAATTTCAGATATTTCATCATCATGGTGGATGATTACAGTAGATCCACCTGGACTCACCTACTAACCAACAAAAGTAATGCCCTACAAGTCATCAAAAACTTTGTGTCAATGATTGAAAACCAATTCAATACCACTATCCAATATATAAGGTCAGACAATGGCCTAGAGTTTAATAATACAGAAGCAAATCAGTTCTTCCTTTCTAAAGGGATTATCCACCAAAAGACATGTCCTTATACACCACAATAAAATGGCATAGTGGAAAGAAAGCATAAGTACCTATTGGAAACAGCCAGAGCCCTCTTATTCCAGTCAAAATTACCTCTAAGATATTGGGGTGAATGTATCCTATGTGCAACCTATATAATAAATAGACTGCCTTCTTCTCACTTCAAGGGCAAGTCACCATATGAACTATTACATAACAGAAAACCTACCTACTCTCACATGAGGAGTTTTGGGTACTTGTGCTATCCTACAGTACCCAAGATCCACAAAGATAAATTTGAACCTAGAACCACACCACATGTTTTTATTGGATATCCCTTTGGGGTAAAGGGATACAAAGTGCTCAGTCTGGCCACCAAGAAAACACATGTATCTAGAGATGTAATTTTCAATGAAAATATCTTCCCTTTTAGTATGTCTAAGGATACTTCTTCATTTCCCTATGTCCTTCAATCCATTCCTTTCATTGATCACATGTCTAGTGAGAATGAGCAAAGTCAAACTAGTGAGTCAAATGATCAAGGGGTTTCAAATGTCACACATCCAGATTTGTCATCTGATCCTTCATCCCTTTCCCCCAATAACATAGATTCACTTGATTCACATACTCCAGAAGATCCATAAAATGACTCACCAATAAGATATGTAGGGAATACCTCACCTGAACATGTCTTGGCACCAAGGCATCTCATAGAACACACAAAGTTCCCACATATTTGAGGGATTATGTTAACAAACTACCCCAGCTGAAACCAAATGCCAAAAACACCAATGCATCTCTTTCTGTTAATGCCTTATCCTCTCCTCACATTCACATATCTACTGAGAATCTAAATCAGGATAATCAGTGCCCTGTGAGAAGCACTTACAGTGACAAAGAGCCTAACTCATATGAGGAAGCAGCTATGTATCCTGCCTGGCAAGCAGCAATGACACAAGAGTTTGAGGCATTGCATGCCAACAACACTTGGGAGCTAGTACCATTACCAGTTGAGAAACAAGCCATAAGATGTAAATGGGTGTATAAAGTGAAGCATAAGGCAGATGGAAGTGTAGAAAGGTTCAAGGCCAGGTTAGTGGTAAAGGGGTATACCCAGCAAGCTGGAATTAATTACACAGAAACATTCAGTCCTGTGGTGAAAATTACAACACTAAGAGCTCTCATAGCTGCATCAGTCAAGAAAGGCTGGGATATATTTCAGCTAGATGTGAACAATGCCTTTCTTCACGGAGACCTTCATGAAGAGGTGTATATGGAAGTGCCACAAGGTTTGGTAGTAGACAATGGACATCTAGTATGCAAACTCAAGAAGTCCTTGTATGGCCTCAAACAGGCAAGCAGATAATGGTATGCAAAATTGAGGGAAGCATTGTGCTGTAAGGGATATACCCACTCTATGTATGATTATTCACTTTTCTACAAGAAGACAACTGAATCAACAATATATGTGGCAGTATATGTAGATGATGTAATACTGATAGGAACAAACAAGGAGGAGATAGAGGAACTGAAGGCATTCCTACATAAAAGTTTCAAGATTAAATACTTGGGTAAGCTCCACTATTTTCTGGGTCTCGAAATATTCTATAAAGCTGATGGAGTTGTAATTTCACAAAGAAAGTTTGTGCTTGATTTGCTAAAAGAGTACAACTGCATAGATTATAGTAGCCTAGCCTCTCCACTTGATCCAACGGTGAAGTCGAAAGCTAAAGAGGGGACTGCATTAACTGATCCCACCTATTACAGAAAGCTGGTTGGGAAATTGAACTTTCTCACCAACACAAGAATAGACATAGCCTATAGTGTACAATATCTTAGCCAATTCATGCAAGATCCAAGAGAACCCCACTTGAAAGCAGCCTTTCACCTGCTTAGATACTTGAAGGGTGACCCCTCCATGGGAATATTCATGTCACATGATCCAAACTATAATGTTAGAGCCTATTGTGATTCTGATTGGGCTGCTTGCCCAGACTCAAGGAAATCAGTGAGTGGTTACTTAATTCTATTAGGGAACAGTCCTATATGTTGGAAATCTAAGAAACAAGAGACCATTTCATTGTCATCAGCAGAGGCAGAGTATAGGGCACTAAAAAAAGTAGTAGGGGAATTGGTGTGGCTGTGCAGATTACTTGAAGAGCTCAATGTGTCCTTTGGTAAACCAGTAGAAGTCTTTTGTGATAGCCAATCAGCTCTACATATAGCAAGAAATCCTGTGTTTCATGAGCGGACAAAACACATAGAAGTGGATTGTCACTTTGTCAGAAGCAAGCTACAAGAGGGACTTATCTCACTTCAGCATGTAGCAACAGACAATCGGTTGGCTGATGTCCTTACCAAGGTTCTAACAGGAGTGAAGCACTCAGCAATTTTGAGCAAGTTGGCAGTGTACACAACATCTCCAACTTGAGGGGGGTATTAAGACTTGTATAATTATATTGTTATAAGTTAATTGTATAGTTGGTGATGTTAGTTAACTGTAATTGAGTAGAGTTAGTTGTGTAGTTAGTGACCAGCTCAGCATTAGCTGTATCCACACATGTATATACTCGGTGTAGTAATAAAAAAGGGGTCAGATTTTTACTTTTCAATTTCTACTTTTATCTCTCACAAACTCTTTCTCATAGAATCCTCTAAAAGGACTCCATTGGAGCTCTAGATCGAGCTTCAAGCTCATCCTCAATGTCAGATTTAACAGATACAATAATGTTTTCAACTCACTTTTACATGTATGTTTAATCAAATGGGAGAATGAATCAAATGTTTCAATCATACACCCAAAAAGGAAAAACAAAAGGGAAGAATGAGAAGAAAGGAATAGCATGCATTTGTCAAATTGCACGAATAAAGACCCCTTTATTTTAAACGAATTGCCAAACAAATATTAATACAAATAGTATATGGTTTTTGCTCATTGTGCATGGCATGGTACAATACAATGTCAACATGAATCTCTTCTCTGTCTGTCTCTCAGTAACCTTATCCGACTTATTCTCGTTATACTCGAACAGGGAAAAAACAAATACTACAATTTTCATGGCAAATGATTGGTTGACTATTTTGTTCATCTTTTGAGCAAAGTTGGAGCTGAGGACTTTAGGGTTGTTTGTCAACATTCTTGCTAGCTTCATCAACAGGACTAGAATTTCCACTAGTACCAGCTGTTCCAATGCCAAAACCAAATCCCATACCCATTCCAAATCCCATTCCAATGCCACCATTATTATTTCCACCATAGCCACTGCCTTCTCCATGCCCATATCCTTCACCATAACCTTCACCACCACCATTATCATCACTAGTATTTTTAACTCCTCCTCCTCCTCCTCCACCTCCTCCACC